AGCATCCACTTGGCAGTCAATTTCATTATCTTTTAGAGTAGGAGCATCCTCATGAAGGAAACGAGCCAGATTCAGAGTAATACAATAGAATAGCATTTTCCACTGCCATATTTTAAAGTCCATTTCTAAGAACTTTTCTGGCTTTTTCCCGTGATTCACCGATACTGTCAAAACAGTGGAAGGGGCAGTCGCAGTACCCGTAACAACACCAGTTGGATCAGAGGTTTAAAAAGGAAACAAATGAAAAATTCTGCATAAACGAAATTTTTCGAATCTGTCTTAAGATTGTTGGAACAATCTTGTAAAATAATAAAACTAAAACAGACAAAATAAATTACTTATAGATTTTCTTGTAACAGAAAAGAAAAATAGCAAAATAATAATCAAGTTGAGTGTATGACACGCTGTCGTTAAGATAGATTCGCCGCACAGGTGCTTACGGATTAATGGCGTTTATCTCCCATAATACGATGATCAAGAACACAGATTGTACTAGCATTATAAATAATCTGTCTGGAACTAGAACTTGAGTTCTGTAACTCTCTTAAATCTCTATAAACTAATATGCAGACCAAATGCAGGAAAGTAGAAAAATGAGAAACAAAAATGGAATGATCGAACTTGCTGGAGAATACTCTATTTATAGGCATAGTGGTGCCTGTTAAGAAGGGCAAAAAAACCCTCCGAATAGGTATGAATTTGAATCGCTAGAAAAAATGAAGGAAGATGACTGGAAAAGGCACTGGTTCAAAAGCATATTTGAATTTCAATTTTCCCGCAAAATTTTGAATTAATTCGTTTGGAAATTTAAATTTTCCCACAAGAATTTGCAATTATTCAAATGAATTTTGTCCAAAAAATTGAAGGTTGGACCCAACCCATAACCCATATCATGTACCTACACCGACCCGACGTGGCTTGGCCGAACAGACAACGGTGGTGCGCGCGCGTGTGTGTGGTGGATTTAGGTCAAACCCACTTTATCCATAACTCCCATCCTTACAAAACTTGGGGTGCCCCTTGGGGTTCATCCCAAGTATGTCAACCTTGAGTTTGTATACTCATATAAACTCTCTTCTTGTTTCTATGTAGGATAACGCAAAATAAGGTAACCCACATTTAACTCTTCAATTTCCTATTTCACGAAATCAAAAACGACGTCAACTTCTCATTCATCCATAAATGGTTTTGACGAATAGACTTCAACGTGTGACTTACCATGTGACAAGGAGCACGTCACCACTCAGACCCACCTCAAAAAACATGTGGGCCCCACTTTAATTTGGGCTCAAAGTTGGCCCAAAATAAGCCTATAAAACCAAATTTTCCAACATGAACTCCATCACGAAAAGTTCAAAAGTTTTGTCAAGGATGGTCAATCTCTTCATACACCAGCTCGACAAGATGATTCATAATTGAATGTCAAATCGTTTGACAAACTCTTACAAATGTCAAAAGGAAAGATGTTTCAACAACCTAGCAACTCTACTGAACCTTATTCGAAATTCCAAGCAATATTTCACATACTCTCATAGAGCAAAGACAACAGTCCAAAGTAGTCGTTTTATGCTGAAACTCAACTAGCTCAGCGATCTCCTTCATGCATATCTCATTGATGTGTCTCGACAACCTAACTCTATAGTAGACGCAACATGCCATCCAGCAACAACAAGACCCAAGTCCATGAAATCTCGAGACGTCTTACAACTTTCAAAATCTCTTAAAGATTGGTACTTAACTTGTTGCAACCATGGTCGGATCTTATGGGTTCAAATTGGCAACTAATTGTCGCCACTCTATGATTCAACGACAGTTTCTCGGCCATCTTATCAATTCGGCAAGTTGGCCTATGTCCACAACATCCAGTTTCAACAAAGGAGATCTATGTCAAACATAAATTAGACGTCGTGCATCCACGAGACAGCTAAACTCTTGACTTCAACAATCAAAATGTTGATGCAATTGTTCACATCACCTAACAAGATCTCACCTCTAAGAAGCTATTCGACAATATCTCCTCTGCAAAGAACAAATGTTGTTTAGCATCATAGTCGAGTCAAAAGCAGATAATACAATAAAAAAAAAAAAGTTTTGTTGTGCAAACAAAAATCCAATCTGAAAAACTATAAAGGATCAAGCATAAACATTCAACCAAATCACAATTTGAAAGAGCTTAATGAAGATAAAGAAAGTTGTACCACGATGGCATCAAAGTATAGAAGATGATCATGGTTAAGCCAACCTATGATCGTTGGTCATAAAGACGTATAAAACAAGGCCATCATAAGGAGAGTTATCCATAAGATATAGTGGGAGCATGGTCCGAGCAATCTCTCTCGCCTAACGAAATTATTGGCAAAAACCTACTTCACCTAGCTAAGTTAATAAAGAAGTGAGCTCTTACTAGCCCAATCTTTAGTTCAATGCACCACGTGCAGAAATCCAAGCAGAAATAGAATACCTTAGCTATCAAATTTAACTCAAATAAGTTCTGTGATTACATCAACACCAAGTGATGAAGACCAAGAGCTTGAGATGTACATAACTCCAAGCACGAATATTAACTAGAAGGAATAAACTCTACATGTCAGAAATAGGCTTTGCCAAGATAAAACAAATGATGCCCAACTTAAGCATTCAATAACAACCATTCTGCGACGACCCCATGTTCTTACGTAATCGCAATAAAGCTCGACCTGATATGAGTTGCCAAAGTCATCACACCATAAAAAAAGTAATTGTGTACAACACAGTTCACCATTTTCTTGTATTCAGTACAACTTGCCATTTACATACAGAAGAGTTCACCATAGGCCCAAGTCTTAAACTTGGAAGCAAAAACAGATAAACTCTAGCTCTACTAAGCATGAAAGACAAAGAACGAAAAAGCCCTAGCTAGGCTAGGGACACTAAGATGGAGTAATCCTTAGTCGAGCTAGGCATTAGAAATTGAGTAAACCCTTGCCACATTAAGCATCAAAAATTGAGTAAGCCCTAACTGAGCTAAGCATCAGAAATTGAGTAAGCCCTAGTTGATTTAGGTATCTATAGACATCCCATTTTGACTAACCCTAAGATTTTAGGCACTTGCAAGCCTCCTGAGAATGAAATGGTAATTATTTCATCTTTGGAATGTTTAAAGTTGTTTAGAGTTACTGTATCAACTTGTTTTAGCCAAAAAAATTGGCTTTTGCGAAAATGACCATTTTATCCATGGATTTATTTTTAGCCAAAAACTAACTTTTTAACCCCGAGAAAGAGAGGAAAGGCCTATTGTTCTGTAATCAAAGCCATTTCTCAAAATTAGTGGCAAGATTTATTAAAAATATTGATCAAAGAGCAATTCGGGCTTACTTGGGCCACAAGCAAGTCAAGAGCATGAGACCCTGCACTTGTGCATTCGTGGAGGGCACATGTACCAAGGCAAGTCGTGCGTGCGCACATCCAAAGCCAGTTTTGAAAACTCAATCTTAGTGTATTTATGGAGAGAGGCGGCAAGAGGGAAGAGATAAAGCCCTAGAAGGGTTCTAGAACCTTCCCCTCTGCCTATAAAAGGGACCTCTCCCCCTCCCTTTCAAACGGTTAACAACTTGAGAACTTTTTGAGTGAGTTTGAGAGCTATTGTTATATGTATTAGTTGCATATTAGGTCATATTTAATTTATGTAATGCATGTACGGCGTTGAAAGTGGATAATAGCGTAAGTCCTCTCAATCTCCATAGCATGTGCATGTCCTTGGTTGCATTGTTTTTCAATAATCTAAGTTATATTCTTTTTCTACAAAAATGGTTGTTTTGAGTGATTTTCAGAAATATTGTTTATTTTGGATTGAGTCTATAGCCATGAATCATGAAAAGTTCTCTTTTTGGAAAGATCATTATTTTTTTTTTGAAAGATATGGCTTTATTCTTTAAATCCAAAATGAATGATACTTATTTTATTCAAATCATCTAGTTCATAGGGTTAGTGGAGGTTTTTAGGTCTAATAATGAATTTGTGGGAATAATTAACTACTAAAATCATAAAATAGAAACTGAGTAGAGGCCAATCTTTAGATTGGGCGAAAAAAGGTATTGTCATTCAATGACCTTTCCCTTTTGTACCTAAGCTCCCGAACCTAGAAAATTTTTGGTTACTGTCCTTAACTTAGTTTTCATTGTTAAATGTTTCTTAATTTCCCTTCAAAAATCAAGTAGCAACTCTTTATTTGTCAAAGTGAGTTGATATAACATTTGTGTGGGAAATGAGCCTTAGACTCAAAAAAGGCACGGCACCCACATCGAAAATTGAGTAACCTCTAGCTAAGCTAGGCATCAGAAATTGAGTAAGCCCTAGTCGAGCTAGGCATTGAAAATTGAGTAAAGCCCTAGCCGAGTTAGGTATCGAAAATTGAGTAAGCCCTAGTTGAGCTAGGCATTGAAAATTGAGTAAGCCCTAGCTAAGTTAGGCATTGGAAATTGAGTATGCCCTAGTCGAGCTAGGCATCAGAAATTGAGTAAGCATTAGACACACTAGGCATCGAAAATTGAGTAAGCCTTAGTTGAGCTAGGCATAAAAAATTGAATAAGCCCTAGCTGAGCTAGGCATCGGAAATAAAGTCAGCCCTAGTCTTACTAAGCATTGGAAAGTGATTAAGTTCTAGTCTTACTAGGCATCGAATACTAAAACTGTCATGACCTCAACCCGTCTCAAACATGATGGTATAGTGATCGGCCAGTAGTCCTTGACTACCAAAGGCCTAACTAAACAAAAACCAAGTTAGACTATGAATATAATTGGGGCAAAATCTTGTTTTAAGTTACAGAAGCCATTAATTACTTTAATGGAGTCCATTAAATTCATTTGAACATCCATTTAGAGCAATGCTTATCTATATGTAATGAAACAAATATCGTTCTTGATTACATACATATTTACAAAGGATACAACATATACAAGACTAATTACAATCCTCTTATAGGGGAGAGGAGTGAGCCATTGCCTAGTGAATAGTAATAAAGTAAAACAGTAAATGAATGATCATCAAAAATCTTTTACCAAAACACGGCATAATTCATAATTTGAACATAATGTAACTTGAGCATGAATAATTCTTGACTTGTAAACATTTACATAGCGATGAACATTTCAAAGATATTGGCATGAGTCCCTCGATAAAGACGTTGGTATAAATCCCTCGACAAAGACGTACTCGGCTTGAACCCCTGGTAAGGTCTTACCCGATTTAAACCCCCCAATAAGGTCATACTCTAAGGATGTCATCTTAATACATGATACAAAAATATAGGATGTTCATTCATAACGAATCATAGCATAGCTTTCATAAACATAAATAAGTTTTGCATTTGAAATATAGTTTATTAAACACAGCGTTACTAAATTACCACTCAGAAATGGCTCTTGAACAAGGGTTTCTCCTCTAACATGCTCAACCTACACAAACAAGCATACAAACATTGATAAACCGAAATGCAAAATGAATATGTCAACTTAACTTCGATTTTATTTCTTAACTACTCTTACTTTAAGTTGGTTTCAAAGCCTTAATTAATCCTATTTTAGGTCTCAAAAGAGTATAATGAGGTCCGGTGCATCAAAACGAGCAAAAAGGATGAAATCAGGTAAATATGCTGGCAAATCCGCTCGTGCGGATTTGTTAAGCTTGCAAAATTCGCTCTTATGGATTGAGGTAGTGACCTCCATCGATAGTGTAAATTCAATCCACTCGTACGGAATTTATGGCCACAAGCGATTTCAAGTAGACAAAACAGATTAGTGTGTGTTCTTGGTGTTTTCTTCCATTCTTTTCCACCCAAAGCTTCAAATCATGATATTTCAAGTCTCAAAACATAAATTAATGACAGAAAATCCATGGAAAAACATTTGTATAAAAGATTTCAAGGTCCAAACCAATCAAAACATGATTTTCACATCAAATCTCCAAAACCTATTTTATTTTCCAAACCATTTTTTTTTATTCTTTCAAAGAATGAATTCAAACATACAAAACTCCTAAAATCTTCACGAAAACATGAGGGTCTAGCTTCTTATGCAACAAGAACATCACAATCAAGATCCAAATGGCAAGAATCTTAGCTAGTTAGCTTGTTTCCTAACTTTTGCATCTCTTTTCTACTCTTTTCCTCATAACTTCATTACTAACCCAAATTAATTCTAACTTCTTCTTAATCTTAGATGGTAGGTGGGATTACTACAAGATTTAGGGTTGAAATCTTACCTTAGATTGATTAAAGATAAACTTTTGGTTGATTTCTCACTAACCCAAATTAATTCTTTTTACTCTTTCAAAGAATGAATTCAAACATACAAAACTCCTAAAATCTTCATGAAAACATGAGGGTCTGGCTTCTTATGCAACAAGAACATCACAATCAAGATCCAAATGGCAAGAATCTTAGCTAGTTAGCTTGTTTCCTAACTTTTTCATCTCTTTTCTACTTTTTTCCTCATAACTTCATTACTAACCCAAATTAATCCTAACTCCTTCTCAATCTTAGATGGTAGGTGGGATTACTACAAGATTTAGGGTTGAAATCTTACCTTAGATTGATTAAAGATAAACCTTTGGTTGATTTCTCACAAGCCCTTCTCTTATCTCTTTCATTCTTCTTCTTTCTCTCTTTTTCTTATTCTTTCTCCTTTCCCCTAGCTCCTTCTCTTACTTTCTAGCAGATTTCCTTCTTCATCTTTTGGTTTTATTGAGCTAGAGAGGACAAGGGTTGGTTAAGACAAAATAGCAAGGTGCATACCTGCTTCACCTATATGTATGCTTCATCAATTCTCTAATCTCATCATTAGTTTAGTTAATCAATCTTAGTTATAATTAATCACGATTAGTCTTCTAATTAATCAAGGTTTATCTTAATTTGGCTTAGCTTAATTAATCATGATTAAGCTTAATTAATCAATCTTAATTAACACCAATCATGTTTAGCAAAAAGGACATATAGTATGAAAATGATAAGCACATTAGTCTAGGATATAGCGATTTCGGTTTTGACCCGCCATTTGTTGTGTTCCAGATTCGGGTTATATAGTTCTAAATTGTGATTCATATCTTGTTTTCATTGTCTCCCCTTTATTTTGGTTATCGGGTTGTGGTTGTATGTTTGGAACAGGTCAATTGCGTGTTTTTCCAAACCTGTGATGCTCCCGCCCGAGCGGGCATTCTTGCGCTCGAGCGGGCTTCACAAATTTTGCTCCTCTGTTCATGCGGCCATTCTTGCGCTCAAGTGGAATTTGTCAACTTTCAGTATTTTTTTGTAGTTCTGCAAATACTAGGAGAATGCATTTGACGCTCGAGCGTCTAGTCTCACGCTCGAGCAGGGTCCTTCGTCTGCAAAACTTTTGGAAATGTGTATTCCACGCTCAAGCTTTGCTTTTTGCGCTCGAGCGAAACTTTGTGTCTGACACGCTCGAGCGGACTGCGTGTATAACAGTCCGAAAAGATGACAGTTTGAATCACTTTTTCTTTTCTCTCTCTAAAACTTTTCGAAAACCTAGATCTACACATTCTCTTTCTAAAATTCACATTCTCTCTAAGATTGCATCTAGATTTGTTGGGATTTCCACCCTAGTGCCTTTGAGAAAAGGTAGAATGCATTAAGATCTTCATTTTGATCCGATTAAAAGTGGGTTTCGTCGTTCTTGCAGTCTCACTCTTGCTTGGCTCATCTTCTTCCTTTGAGGTAGGGATTTTTCTACACTCTCATATGGTTTTTAGTTTAGTTATTTATTACTGTGTAACAATGGTGGGATATAGTAGTAGTTTGATCAAACCTAGGATTTGGGTTCAAGTTGAAAAGAGGGGTTTCCATGTTGGGATGCATAAATGAATATGGGGTGTTGAGTATGAGGTTATCTTGGGTTAGAATGGTAGATTTTAACCTTTGGATTGATGTTCGAAAAAGAGAGAAATTTGCCCTAACATACCTTGAATAATTATTTTGTATAAATAATGAAATTGATGTGAGAAATGTGAAATTGGGGATAAGTATAAATGAATGGTGTAGTTTGATTTGTTTAATCACTCAGTGTTGAGTATGAGGTTATCTTGGGTTAGAATGGTAGATTTTAACCTTTGGATTGATGTTCTAAAAAGAGAGAAATTTGCCCTAACATGCCTTGAATAATTATTTTGTATAAATAATGAAATTGATGTGAGAAATGTGAAATTGGGGATAAGTATAAATGAATGGTGTAGTTTGATTTGTTTAATCACTCATCCATAGAAATTTGATGAATTCTCTGTTATAAAGATTGTATATCTGTTTAGAAATATTGTATTGGGCTATCGGTGGAGGATAGCTTTGATTGTTGTAGAAATCACATGTGGATTAGGTGAATTGAAATTAGCCCATGGTTGATTATCATTGAATATGATCCTGTTGAAAATACATTGTATATATATGATTATTTAGGAGGAAAAAGGGGATGTACTCTATATGTGTGATTATGTTTTTAAAAACATTACATATGTATGATTGTTTGGGAGGAGAAAGGGGATGGACTCCATTATAATTAAGTTGGCCAAAGTGTCATGGGTGAAAGTCCCGAAATTATACATGGATGCCTAGCCCACGGACGAAATATCCGTAAAATGGCAATTGTAGTGCTTGTATAGTCTATATTTACGTGGGTCCCGTTTGACGACTGCCCGCGGCCGAAATATCCGTGAAATGGAAGTTTGAAGTGTTTGTGTATGTGTTGTATGATTTGAAAACCATTGAGTTGTAGCCTCAGTTTGGTTGTTGAGAAATAATGACATTGACTCATGAATTGAGAAAGATAAATGAACGGAATATGAATTAAAGGAAAATGGATTAAGATTTGAATTTGATATCTTTCGAATATACATATTTGTGAATGTTTTGTATATGCACTTTATACTTATATCTTTGATAAACCTCATATATTATGTTAGATGATTTCTATTGGGCTGTGGCTCACCCTATTTGGGAAAAACATTTTCAGGTAATGATGGCATGCCTCCACCAAGGCAATAGCATAGGAGGAGCCTTTGGGAAGCAAGAGCTACTGGTTTTGTTCTATTTTGTATAGCCTAGGGCTAAATCTGTACGAGCCAGTCTCCTTTTGTTATAACCAAGCCAAGGCTTGGAAACGTGAAAGCCCGAAGGGCATTTTTAAATGTTAAACTCTTTTGTGTTATTATGTTCATATAATGAAAGGACTTTATACTCTGATTGATGTAATTGTTAATTACGCTTTGGATCATGTTTATTGTATCTTTTTTAGGGCGTTACATAGGATCTTTAAACTCCTTAATTAGTGCATAGGCACATTCTAGCACTCACAAATCTTAGACTCAAGATGTCCCCTAACTCTTAGTAATATGCAAGTATTTCTCTTTTTAAGTTTGTTTTATCAAGGCATTCACTTCTAAATTTCTTGCTAATTGTATTAATCTCCCAAGGTTTCCATCTTATCAGTTCATATTTATTTCTCTAAAGTATTGTAAAGTTATTAGATTAAGGTAAATATTTCATCATGTCAAGTAAAATACTTTTGATGTAATACATAGTTGCTTACTATGCTCAAGAGGTGGCTTGTTTTTAGAAATTAAGGGAGAGTTATGGGCATGAAATGAATGTCAAATAACATAAAAGGATACTCATGTCTTGTCATTAATTTTTATTATTGTCTACCTTATTTGTCATACTTACTCGCCATGGATATGTGTAAAATAAACGATTCGATTATATTACTATATATCGAACCAAAATGTAATATACACATCTAAATAAATGATTGTACTTCTAATCTAAACAACAATTGAATCAAGTATTCCTAACCTAGTGACAAAAACATGTTTCTAATTTCATCAGTTTAGTGTCATGTACATAGATTGGAAACTTGGAACTTGTTAATGGTTTAAATGACCCCTACATTCTAGATACCATCCATAGCATTAACATCAATTTTCTGGGGCAATTTCAACATTAGATATGATTGGTGTCTCATCAAAGGACCCTCTTTTGTTGTCTAAAATATGTTGTAGCCCCATATCAGCAAAATATTCAACCCCAAAAAATAAATAAATAAATAAAATAAAAAATAAAAAAAACATATCAGCCAAAAAAAGAAAAAAAAGAAGAGAAATCAACAACTAAGAAATCAAATAAACATATACAAAACCATTGGCTTAGGCTCAATCAATGAACAACAAGCAACATACACGATCTTTTAATCACACAAAATACCAAACACATAAAGGGCACCATACCTCAATCCTAGGAATTGTAACTCTACTCTTTTCATAACAGTGTCATGCTTATCAAGGGTAGGAAAACAAAAATTAAAAATTAAAAAAAAAAAAAGCAAAACAGAAAAAAGAGGATGTTTCTTACCTAAAAGTAAATATAGTCCTTCCAACACAAAAAGCATCACCTATTCACACCAACATAAGAGACAACATAGAACAATTTAGAAGAGATTAAAAAAATACACCCAAATACCATATAATACATCCTTAAAAAAAAAAACTACAGGGAAGAAACATATAAGAAAAAGCTTAAGAAATTAAAAGAGAGCATTTCTTACCTGAATAGAAGAAAAGTATTCACAAAAAATTATAAGAAAATAAGAAACATGAATCACATTTATTAATAAAATGAACAACAAGCAACAACAACTAAGAAATCAAATAAACATATACAAAACCATTGGCTTAGGCTCAATCAATGAACAACAAGCAACATACACGATCTTTTAATCACACAAAATACCAAACACATAAAGGGCACCATACCTCAATCCTTGGAATTGTAACTCTACTCTTTTCATAACAGTGTCGTGCTTATCAAGGGTAGGAAAACAAACATTAAAAATTAAAAAAAAGAAAGAAAGCAAAACAGAAAAAAGAGGATGCTTCTTACCTAAAAGTAAATATAGTCCTTCCAACACAAAAAGCATCACCTATTCACACCAACATAAGAGACAACATAGAACAATTTAGAAGAGATTAAAAAAATACACCCAAATAATATATAATACATCCCAAAAAAAAAAAAAAAATCTACAGAGAATAAACATATAAGAAAAAGCTTAAGAAATTAAAAGAGAGCATTTCTTACCGGAATAGAAGAAAAGTATTCATAAAAAATTATAAGAAAATAAGAAACATGAATCACATTTATTAATAAGATTATGAGCCAAGAATCACAATGGAATGGAAACACCCACAGAAGGACAATGGAAAAATTAACCACTAAATCCACTAAATTAACAAAGATGTGTTGCTAAGCAGACAGCCGAATGTCAAACAGTGAGCAAAAAGAGAAAAATACTATGATAATCAAATGTAGATATGAGGTGCATTAAAGACTTCAAAATGTATGTAATGTTTCCAAAGATATGTAATGTTTTTGACTGAAAGGTCAAAGGTTTTCTTCATCTATTTGCTTCCCTCAATCATTTTCAATGCTGGGTAACATCTCTTTCTCTTTCTCTTTCCTCTGTATAGATATATACATAGAGGAAGGAAGCTCCTCAAGCCTCAAAAGTTGAAAGAAAACCTTCATGAGAGGGAATGGAATCTCTCTCTCTCTCTCTCTATATATATATATATATATGTATATATTGGGATGCATCAGCAACCACCTCAAGTGCAACCAGCATTCCCCAAATTTGGAAAACAATTTTTAAAAAATAGAAACACCAAAAACAGAATAAATAAGAAAAATACAGAAATAGAAAGCAAAGAATGAATTGAACCCCCAATCCAAACCAAAAACCAAACCCATCTAAACATACTCACATATATGCAAACTCCATAACCAAAAACCCAAACCCAGAACCCAAAATTAGAAATTGAAGGGCTAATCATGTGCAGCCCAAAGAGCAACAATCAAGCAATAGAAAGAAACAAGAAACACACCCAATTGCTGCAGAACATCACTACCTTAGGCACCTTCTGACCCGTTGGAGATTGAATACAAAATCATTACATAGTAAAAATTGTTATATGAGTGAGTTTTCCACCAGAGAGCTATTCTAACTATAATAAGCACACAAAGATCAAAGGCATTAGGTTGAGAATTGTTGAATATGCATACATATCTTTGCTAATATTAAAAACAAATGGCAACTAAATTATTATATATAGATGGAATTTAATTAAAAATAATATCTCTTTATCTCATTTCTTTCTACTACCATTATACTATTTAGCTTCTAAATTGAAAAATCAAATTTAATTAAAAATAATAAGCTTACAAAGATTAATAGATTTGGGCTTTTGGACGATTCAATGTCTTGTCTTTGTCTTAGGATTTGAATTTCGACTCCAACGGAGGATCTATAGGGACAGAGGCAGGTAAATCCTCTGAGGCAGCAGCAGCAGTGCGTGGAGCAGGCATTGGTTTAGACGGAGGCCCAGAACGGTGAAA